TATATTAGAATAAGATCCCCACATGGGGATAATGGAAAGGAAAATGGAAACTTCTGTTTAGGGTTTGGGGTTAAGGGCTCCCGGTTACCTGAATAGTAGGTTACTGGGCCATGTAACCATAGGGTATATAGAACCCAGTTCCCATCATTTGGGTAACTGGGAGCCCTAAGGTACTGTTGATGGAGGCCATCTTGCTCCACGGAGGCTTAGGCTTGAAGGTTGCATGTGTTTAGTGTTTAGTGTTTAGGGTTTAGGGTTGCTGCTTTGTTTCTGGCGATAGCTTGGCCTCTGCGCTGCCCATGCTAACATCATTGACTACACGCGAAGTCTGACCGTGAAATATGCCGAACATTTTGAGTCTCTTACAAGGTGACCTCCTCCTAAGGATCTCACTACAGGGGAGACCCATGAGTTGAAGCATTCTCACCTGGCAGGTGTCTAAGTTATACAGGATTCAGGAGTAGTAGAGAGCCATGTACGTGACTGGGCTTCTGGGCAATGTTACCTCTGCACCAGTGACCTGTATCACCGCCATCAAGACATGACTACTCCCCGCCTGCGACACCTCCTAAATCTGTGGGATTTAGGGTTTAGGGCATGCGGCGTGCCCAAATTATTACCTACCTTAGAATTCTGGCGTTAACAACCCTAAACACTAAATCCTTAACCGCGTACCATTTCCGGGATATCATGGACCGTTGCCACATAAGCATCAGCCCTGCAACCTAAACTCACATTTCTTCTGCGCGAAAATCAGGGCCCATGCGTAGCGACGTTGGCTGCGGCAACCACTAGACCTCAGGATTGCTTCGCTGAGGCTAGGGTTTATGGTTTGGGGTTTAGTACCTTTGGGTGCAGGGGTTTCGGACCTTTGGGTGCAAGGGTTTCGGGAGACTAGGGTTGGGGGTTTAGGACCTTTGGCTGTAGGGGCTTAGGGAGTACATGAACTCTTGCTGGACGTTGCATGCATCTAGAAAAATCTTCCGGACCACCTTGGACCCAAGTAACAGGGCTTTAGGGCCCAAATACCATCAATATTATCGTAGTTGGGCCCTAAGGCCCTGTATGTGGGTCCTTGGGCCCTTAGGGCAAGGCAGCACCTTGTCAGCGGCAGAAAAGAAAAGTCACACTTGTATGTGGGTCTGGGGTCTTACGCAGTAGCCCCCCACGCAGTATGGCCCCTGGCTCTACACCACTCCCCCCTCCATCATGATGAAATTCCCCAAATCCGAACAAGAATTCTGATGATGGTGCTATGTTATGTTCAGAACATGCGAAACCCTAAGCCACACGAGCCTTAGTCTGAACTCCTAGTAGCTGCCTGAATATACATATAACAGTCCCCCTTTAGAATCCCCCACTTAACCCCCCATCTAAGATGTTTAGCATTATGGCTCATATTGGAGATGGACGTTGAAAACCCTAACAACCCTAAACCCTGAACTCTAGACCCTAAACCCTATACCCTAAACCTTGAACCCTAAAACCTAAACCGTGGAACTCTAGTCCTCCAGTCTGGAGCCTGGCCAGGGTGCCCTCTTAAATGTGCCATTGTGCAAGGTTTAGGGTTTAGGGATTAGGAATCAGGGTTTAGGGTAAGAATGTCGATAAGTGGGGCTACTATATGGGTTATAGGGCTTATTAACCTACTTACTAAGTCCCCGATACCCTCCAAGTAGGGTTTAGGGTTTAAGGTTTAGGGCTTCTACCGTTCTTTACGCTGCGGCACCTATAGTCGAAATAGAACTCCACACGCGTGGTAGGGACATGCAATATGATAATTCCAGGAAACTCCTCTCGTCTGAGCTCTCATAACCTTACATAACCCCTAAACCCGAAACCGTGAACCCTAAACACTAAAATCTCCTCATAATTGCCACCCCTCAAGGTACTCATGTTTCAAGCACGTGCCTCTCATATGGGACGGGGCCTTGACCCTGGGGCCCTTATGACGCAGGGTTTAGGGTTTAGGGAACCCATAACCCCCCAAAACAAGCTGAGGGGGTGCCTTCTAGGAGCCATGGGCCCTGACCTTGTACTGAACCTCTTGCCCCTAAACCCTAAACCCTGTAATTTACAGGCCCTACCGTACAGCTCGGGGAAACCCAAACCTCAAACCCCCCCAAAGCACACGCCTTCCCCCACAAAGCCCAGGACATCCTAAGCGCCCGAAGTGGAGTAAGCCCTGAACCATCTCAAACCCTAAATTGGCCTAAACCCTGAACCCCCGAAACAGCCATAAACCCTCAACCCCTGTAGCCCTAAACCCGCAAAACCTGTACACCACTCAATGGATCAAATATTGCTCATCCCCAAACTCCAAGCTTTTACCCCTAAACCCTAAACAGCGCTGTGGCTGCGGCTGGCAGTTGAATAGGCCAGGTATGGAGCCTCCTCAATATCCAAGACCTTGAGATGTTTTACAAAAACAGGGGTTTAGGGGCTGGGGTTTAAAGGTTTAGGGCTTCGGAAATTAGAGGGAGGGAGTTGGGTTTCAATTTTGCTTTTCATTTTTTCGGCCTTACGGGACCCTAGATGTACAGGCAGTTAACCAGGAATCATGCGTGCTAGAGTTACCCTAAAATCTGAACCCTAAACCCTGAACCCTAAACCCGTAATAGGCTTAGAGCTAGAGGCTGAGAGTGGAAGGTCTCCAGTCGTAATGCGAGAACGGATCCCTACCCAAACAGTTATTCACCCTCAACCCTAATTATTAGGGTTTAGGGTTTAGGGGGTTTAGGGGTTTAGGGTTTAGTATGAGGCTATGAAGTCCCCAAATGTGATTACATATAGCTTGTAATTTGAGAGCTACAGCTATGCTCAGACCCTAAACCCTAAATCCTAAACCCCCCATCAACCTGCAACTTGAAGCAAGACTGCTACCAAAGCATTTGCTGGTGCATGCCTTTGCCTTCGGTTGGGTGCGATTAGGAGCATCCAAGTGAGGGTGTCTGTTGTACTTGTATGCCATACCATAACTGTACATGCAATCAGGGCCCATCTTGTTGGTATTTATTTTGGCCCCTGCATGGCTGCTGCAATGAATGTTACTGGCAATGAGCCTCCTGAAGAAGTCAGTTGGGCCAAGAGAGGAGGTTTAGGCCACTGAACCCTATAAACCCCAAAACCTATAAATCCTAAACCCTGTAAACCCTATAAACCCTAAAGACCCTATAAACCCTATAGACCCTAAACCCTAAACAATCACCAAGGGTTCTGTGGCCTTGATCATCCCAAGAACCTGCGCATGGGACTACATGGCAGTTTTCCACAATAAGGGGACCCCAATTAACTATCCCTTGGGGGTTTAGAGGGTTTAGGGTTTAGGGTATGGGGTTTAGGGTACAGGGTTTAAGGTTTAGGGTATATTGTATGGATTGTCGACCCCAAAATACAATAGTCCTTATCAAAAGGACCCCCCCCCATAGTCGTACCCCTAATTTTGGGAAACCCCTAGATGCCGCGGGCTAAGGGGGTCCCACCAAGGAATGAGGGGAAACTGGCAAGTGACCGTTAAGGTGTAGAGTGTAGGGTTAAGGGTTTCAAGTTAAAGGTTAAAGGTGTAGGGTTTAGGGATTTTAGGATTCAAGGGGTAGGGTGTAAGCCCCAGAGCCACACACCAACCCAGCACCCCAACAGCCCGAACACCAACCCTTTAGATTCGGAGTTTAGGATTTAGGGGGTAGGGTGTAAGCCCCAGAGCCAAACACCAACCCAGCACCCCAACAGCCCAAACACCAACCCTAAACCCTAAACCCTACCTAGACCCTCCAATGTAGTACTTTTTTGGTAGTCCTAATACGAGACAAAACCAAAAAACAACACCAAACCCGAAAAGAAACTACATTGGAGGATCTAGGTAAGCTCTAAACCCTAAACCCTAAACCACATCTTACCAACTGTAGCTTAGGAAGTTGGACCGAGGAACCTTCAGGTTGCCATTCAGCTAGGTCCAGGATTTAGGGTTTAGGTTTCAGGGCTTGGGGTTTGGGGCTGCGCCAGTAACCTCTCAAGTACCCTTACAAGGTATCTATTCAGGTCCCGTTTGTGGATAGACCCGTCATTCTCGACGAAAGAGTTTTGTGTAAGCTCCTCCGGACTGAGCAAGCCGTCCACCTAGTTGCTCAGTACATGTCGTTAGCTGGGCTGCTGTTAAGGAACTGACTTTAAATTACTATATCGGGGAAACCAATTCATGACTAGATATACCCATCATGGTAACTTAGTTTAAGGTCCTTAACAGCAACCCATTCAAACGAGCTACAGGCAGTCCTAATCTTACAGGCGGCCAGTAAGGTATGAAGGAAGTAACGCCATACTCAGTACCAGGTTTAAGGTTTAGGACCGCGCCTCCTAAACCCTCAAAGAGGTACTATCTTGTAGGCACGTAGTATATATATATATGTCTGTTTGGCGCAAAGAGGTTCCCATTTTTCTACGGTGGAGCCCACGTATATACACCAAATAGCTGGAGCCCTTGCTTATGTAATAATAGCACTCCACATTCGAGCTGTGAGCCTTGGCAAAACCTTTTTTCTCCACAGAAACCACGCAGCTGGTCTTGAAAAAGGAGCCGGGGTTTAGGGGATTGGGATTTATGGTGTAGGTGTTAGCAGGGGTTAGGGGATTGGGGTTTTGGGTGTAAGGCTTGCCAGGGGTTTAGGGGATTGGGTTCTTGAGCTGTCAGACAATGCTGAACTATCCTAAACTATGCCCCTCTAAAGTGGCAACTCCGACATACGTGTAAACAGTCCATTCCTGCACATGGTACGTCCTCCAACAAGGCGCCCTGAAAAGGGACCCCTCCGAATTATGAAGTCACACGCTATACTTGTACCTCGCTGTACCTTGCAGCGAACTTGGCATCAAGTAATTTCTCTGCTCGCAAGTCTACCTCCAATGTGGATCGCTCACCATCGCTGAGGTCACGGAAGGGTAGGCGCGAGGGGCCAACCGGGAGCACTGTCTGCATGATGCTCTTCTGCACATTCCTGGATTTGCTTTCCGGAGAAAGGGGCATTCCTGACTGAAAGGGTGCGGGCATCAAGTCTTAAAAGCCGCCATTTTGGAGTCCGGGGCTTGGAGGGCCTACGTTCTGCACATTCCTGAGATGAGTATTCGAATATGTGAAACTCCCCGGAGACCCTGAAACCTCTAAACGGTCGCCGAAGCTTTCGGCGCATGGCGAGTAAGGACGGGGTGAAAAGATAAGCCTTGAGATTGGAAGCAGTACTTGGAGTTCCATACCTAAAGCCAAAAAGTATGTAAAATAATGGCCTTTAAGGCTATTATTGGGGTTTTAGGGCTATTATTTTACATACTTTTGGGGTCCAGGTACTGCTTAGGTCAACTTCAGGGTTCAAGGGCTCAAGGATGGGTTTGATTTATGCACATCGAAACTCAAGTGCTACGGGTTTAGGTCTTAGGGTCCAGGGGTTGAGGACATTAGGTCTTAGGGCCTTAGGTTTGAAAGACTCAAGGTTCAGGAGTTGCACTTAGATTTCATGGCTTTAGGGCCAAGGGTTTCCAGGCTTGGGGCTAGGCCGGGGCTCACAACTCAGGGGGTTGGGATGTGGGGGCTTTCATGTTGGTCTCGGCTGGGTGTTGTTAATCTCGCAGAGGCGTAGAAGCGTTGCAGCTTCTACGGATCCTGTTCACGTGTGGGTGATCAAAATTCGCGTGAGTTTGCATATCCTTTGGCGGTTTCTGTTGAGTTCTTGACCCAGACCCGATAAAGGATCCAGAAAGAGGAACCTCAAAATAATAATCCCCATGTAATGATGGAGCCACTTTTGGTGGGTTCCTTTTTTGTTGGATCTTTTAGGGGATCTCGTGAAAAGCCTCATTGAGATAAAGAATTCAACGCAAATCTGAATCCTGCCTCAAAGTCCCCCACTGATTAGGCTTGAGGGTTAGGGGTTTAGGATATAGGGGTTTAGGGCTTAGGGTTTAGGGGCTTAGGGGTTTAGGGTTTGTAAGGTTCGGGGGGGACTATCGATTAGACCGTTGCGCTTCCTACTACCGTGAGTCGTGACGGTCACCACCATTCTT